TGCCTATTTTATTTCAATTCTGCTTAATTTACTATAAAATCTTGTGAATAAAACAAATAATTTTTATTCGAAATTTCTAAATCTTTGAAGTTTCATAACTTTTAATAAGTGGTGGATCTGTGGATCAATATGTAGAGAAGGTGGCAAGCAATATATCTGTAAAAAAAAAGTCACACAAATAATAGTGTTTTTTCGCTCCTCATACCCTTAATTGAAATTGAATTGTTACGCAGACCAGTTCTTAATAATCATAACAAAGAATGTCATGCTGCTGTTCTCGTCCGATTTAGTGTAACAAGTAAAATGTTTACACTATTTATTGTTTTTCACACAATATTACAATATTCAATATTAATATTAATTAAAAAAACGAAATGGCCTCAGAAACAAAGAGCCGTAAACCTGCAAGTTAGTGATTGAAGAATTTGTTTAAGGTTTATTTCAGATAAATTATACTCTGATTTTAACCTCTAAAGAATTTGCATTGTTTTAGATACCGCCTTTAAACAACAACGATTAAAAGCGTGGCAACCTATTCTTGCACCAAATACAGTTTTACCAACTCTTTTTATCGTTGGAATCATCTTTGCGCCACTTGGTGGTTTATTGTTATGGGCTAGTAACAATGTAAATAGATATTTATCAAAGAAGAAACAAGTACATTTTATTTTTCTATAATTTTTAATTACTAATTCGTATATAATTACCATACATGTTATAAATTTAGGTATCTGAAATTAGCTTTGAATATACATTTTGTGATTCAACAGCTCCAGTTTATCCAATTTTTGAACCAATGCCATCAAAATTTGATTCACTTAAAAGTGAGAGATTACTGATTGTATCTAAAATTAAAAAATATATATTAATATGAGATTTTTTAAAATTACAAATGGAATAGCAACAACAACAATCTACTCGATAGTTATAACCTACCATTGAATTGGGAATTAGCAATCAAGCCACAAGGATAAATTGGAAGACCATCAGGTGTAACGGCCATTGGTTTACAATCACTTTTTTGT